TCAGAAACGCTCCAAACCAACGCGTGCCGAGCCCTGTTTAGGAGTTTCACATAGGGGGTAAGTGAACAAGCTGATTACGAATGCAATACCAACTCAAAGAATTATGATTTCCCCTTATCTTCTCGACTTTTACAGATTTTGAGCTGCGGGGCTGGAATTGACACAAGAGCTGGGACGGAGGTAAGTAAGCATAATGAATGAATTTCCTATTATTAATACTTTATCGATTTTCTTGCTAAGTTTGATGAAAAGCTGAGAGTCGTTGAAAGACGGTAAGTGAGCATGCCGATCACGAAAATATAGGGGGTGCGCAGAACTGGCTTAAGATGGGACAGGAACAAGATGATTGTGCAGAGCGTAAATGTTATCATACTTTGACAAGGCCGAGCGGAGTCGGGTATCTCGTGTACAAATCTGCAAATTGTAGGGAGATGTCTATACATTTATTCATTTCAATGCACATGTTTGCAAAAGCTACAAGACCTGAACTGAGAGCTAAGCAATAGGAAAAAGTCATTAAATATGTTCGAATGAATGGCAATTGTTATTAGATAACAAATTAAATACAAATATCATTCATCTCAACAACATCTTAAATTAGCTCTCTTGGCCACAGTAACAGCTTTATGTACAACAACACAAAATTCAGCCTACTTTCTTCGTCCGAAGTAACCACCGTAGCCGCCGTAACCGCCATAACCGTAAGCACCCATTGCGTCGGAGGCGTAGTAGCAAGCAGCCCCCGTGGCGGGTTGCATTCCATAGATACTGTTGAGAATTTCGCATTTGAACGCGAATTCTCCTATTTGGAAGAGATTGACAGCAGCACAGTCAAATTGTCGACACGCCTCTCTGCACTGCTCAATATCCTAAAAAAGTGGGTTAGGAGATGGGTGCAACTTGAAGGAAGCCAGACATACTTTACAAGGTTCAGAATTTTCCAAAGTATAACAAAATTACGTTGTTTGGGACCAGATTACAAGGCTGCAATTTGTGGCAGCATTTTTGAGTGAATAAGCTGTATAAGCACATACTTGCAAGAAACTTGCTACAATGAAAGTTTAGGAAATTGTTATTCTTTTCGACTTTTAGCCGTCAAAAAATGCAGCAAGTGTATGCATGAATATCTGATGGAATGAGTATATGCTTGAGTGAGGAAATTGCAGAATCGTTTTTGAGATACGATTATTTTCATTTTTTGCAATTGCGGATTTTTTTTTATTTTGTCTTGAGAATTAATGCTGACCAAGCTTGGTGCAAGTTTTGATGCTATGCTTGCTTTAATCCGTTGGAAGGTGTCCCGCATCTCATTCGGATAGAAGAGTACTGATTTATATTGGTGAAAAGACAGATACGAAATGACTTATGTGACAACTAATACATTAAGAAGCCACACACACACCTTTCTGAAAGATAGCTATCTGGCTAATTCGCGATTTTTTAATACTTTAGCTTGGTTTTTAGATACCGAAGTTGTGTCTTGAAGGAAAAGTAAAGTGATAACCTAGCGACTTTTCCACAACTTCCGAAGTGTCAGCATTTTTTTATGGTATGTTTCAAAAACCATCGCAAATCTTCGAACCACTTCTGTGGCAATTCTTATAAGCGTTACTACTGCTCACCAAAGATGGCCTTACCCACTGCTTGTTTATCCTTCCATAGATAGGAACTAAATATGTCAGGACCAATCCTTACAAACCTACCTGGACGTTATCAATGTCGTAG